AAAATATTATGATATATAGGAATATGGTGATTTCATTAGATATCGATGCTTGTTTTGGGCGTAGGAGGTGGAGAATGATTTGGACGACTTTATTAGTCAAAATAAATGTCAAAATCCAATGGAATCACCAGATTCCAGTAGATCGATAGTTTCCAGTCGCTATGGAACCGGCTGTGGCTTCAATGCATACTATTGACCAGTGTTGATCACTAGTCAACCACCCCTACCAAATATATATATATATATATATATATATTAGTCATTGTACATATAACAATAATTTCAAAATCTAATTTAGCAAACGCATAATTATAAAATTTCAAAAGTCACAACAATTATAAAAGTATCATTTACCAAACACATTCAAAATTATTTTCCAAATTGGGGAAAAAATAATTAAAACTTAAATCTATAGTAATCCTAACTAGCCCTTAAGTCTCATTAGCTTAAATGGGTGATTATGAGTATGAGTATGAGAAAGAGTCATGTTAATATGCCCCTATAATTCTCGAAAGAGTAATTCACTCCTACAAATTTGTAAACAAAGTTAAATATATAAAGTGAGGTAATATTACTTTTAAAGCTTTAATTGATATATAATTTTTCTTTATTTAATGAATAATTTTATATTTTCACTTTTTCAATCATATTGTGTCACGTCACTTTTATATTAGATTTTGTATATAAATTTTATGAAAAACACTATGCTTACTCACCACTTGTACTAACTGTCATACAACCTTTGTTAAAATTTTATATGGTACCCATACTATGCGTATAGTACCAGTACTATACGTTATATTTACAAAGGATAGTAAGATGGTTAGTAAGATGGTGAGTAAGTATAGTATGGTTCAAATTTTATAAGACTAGTCTTACTCAATAGGAATAAGGTTGTAGAAATATAATGATTTTTGAATTTAGTCAATACAGTGGGAATGGATCGATTTCTATTTTTTTTTTGTTGAAGAGTGATGCTATGGGTACTAATGGATGAGTACTAATATGTGTACTAACTAAAGCATAGTACCCGTACTATTCGCACAAATGAATAGAGAGGTTCGGCTTTAGCCCAACATCAAAATTTGTAATCCGTTACTAATTCAACAAAGAATAATACTTTGGGTACTAATGGATGAGTACTAATATGTGTACTAACTAAAGTATAGTACCCGTACTATGCTCATAGTACAGGTACTATGCTTTAGTTAGTACACATATTAGTACTCATCCATTAGTACCCANAAATAAAACTGAAAAGAATATCTAGTTATACAAAATATATTATGGTAAAGTAATCAATTTTTTGGATGCATGAGTTAGTATCCAAGACCCCTCTTTGAACCTTGAGTAAATTACTGTAAACCCTTTCTTGAACTATTAAATATTTGGATGGAAAGCTTCACGGGTTATGGAATTCTAGGCTAAAAGCAAGTTCTTTGGCGAATCTCGATGGCACAAGGGAGCTCTATTATAAAGAAAAACAAAAGCACGTTAATAAAGGGGGGACTATTCTTTCAAGGACTGATTATATATATATACATTGAAGATGGATTAGAAAATTAATAATTGCTGAGTGGCATTTGGAGCTGGCTCTGTTGATTAAAAATATAGTCTGCATTTTTTTAATTGAAGAATCTATTCTTTCAATGTGTGCATATTTTTATCTAAAATTCTGTCAGATGCCAATTTGCTTTTAATTTTGTTAGACACCTGATTGATTAATTTAGACAAGCTTGTTCTATTCATTAGCCTTAATTGTAAAGGGTTGGATCTACTTGAGAAATCATTTAGCATTTCTATCAACTTTTATTAAAATATACATTTGGACGAAAAGCTTCATGGGTTCCTGAACATTAATTATATATATATATATGAATAATACTTTGGGTACTAATGGATGAGTACTAATATGTGTACTAACTAAAGCATAGTACCCGTACTATGCGCATAGTACGGGTACTATGCTTTAGTTAGTACACATATTAGTGCTCATCCATTAGTACCCATAACATTACTCATATATATATATATACATACTTTTATCAAGTTGGTAGTAGTTGCAAAACAACTCAATCCTTGAATTAACCAATATTGGATGGGATGGAAATCCTTGTGAAGACCTTATCCCCAAATAATAAAAAATAAAAAAATTTATTTATTTTATTTTAATATCTTATAATTTCGGAACTGTATTTTATTTAATATTAAAAATTGATAATTATTTTTTTATTTTATTTTTCAACTTAAGTATATAATTGATGTTTATGATAATTAATTTTTAACTAAATGTACAATATTATAATGATAAATTTTTTAATCATAATTCAACGATTGTTTTTAGTACAATATTAGAATGACGATTGCTGTTACACCGAAATTCTTAATTTTTTTTTTTCCCCATAAATTGTGATGTTGGAGTATGACTCTTTAAATAATATTTTTAATACAAAATTAAAAGAAATTATTTTATAAATTAATACTTTCGCCTTCGGGGATTGGAGATGGGGCGGGCAGGGAATAGCAATCCCCATCTTGGCGCCAATGTAATTTGGGGTGTGTTTTCCATCCCCATCCTCTGTGGGCTGAATTAAACTTCCTTAGTTAAGCTACAGAGTTTACAGAGGCTTAGCTGGAGTCTTGAACATAAATCTTCAACTATGTTGTATTATCAAACATTATTAGTCTTTAACTTAAGAAACTTGTCACTATTAACCAATTTATTTATTTAAAGACTTCAGTTTTAATATCTATTAATAATGAAATAAAAATTATTTAAAATATACTTATTTTGTATTTTTACATGGCTTATATTTCCCTCCATAAAATAAAAGTAATTTTAAAATTAAGAGAAACAAAGATATCAATTTTTTTTTCTAAAACTGATTATTTCTAAGGTGATGCATAAACCATTATGAGACAAGATACAATAATCTCAAACTAAGTCATAGTTTATTAACAACAAACAAAATATCAAGTCTAGTCATCATTCAGCCATAGTTACTAAACATTAACGTACAGACAAAAGTTTAATTGTTGGCTCAAAATTCACAAGCCAAACACAATTTACCAAGGCATTTAAAAAAAAAAAAAAAAAAAAAATCTAATTGACTGTTTTTGATAGATCAACTATAATATATTTTAAAACTAGTAAACTTTTATTTAACAAGTTACCTATTTTGTTAGCGTTGTTTTAGATTTTGACTTCTACGGACAAATAGTATAAATTTCTACTTGCAAAGAAAATGGAAATATAATTTGCTTTAAATTAAGAAGGATGACTTGTTACTTGTTACACATATTTATAGTAAAAATAAAAGAAATATTATCAATCGAGGGATTTGAAATTATAAGAAAAAAAGACACTTAATGTTAGACCGGTCGTCACGGTCACAAAATTTTAAACCTAAATACTGTAGTAGCGGTAAGCATGATCGAATCCACAGGGAGCAAGACTAACAACCTAACGTATTTTAAGTAGCGAAAATGAAATTGACAATGGATTAATGAAACTAAATAGACTAAATGCAAATAATGAAATAGTGAAATTAAAACAAATAAAGACTTTATAATAAAAATGTTGCCGTTACGGTTTTGGTTCGACACGAGACCGACTCACACAATTCTTCTCCACCCNAAAACTAGTAAACTTTTATTTAACAAATTACCTATTTTGTTAGCGTTGTTTTAGATTTTGACTTCTACAGACAAATAGTATAAATTTCTACTTGCAAAGAAAATGGAATATAATTTGCTTTAAGAAGGATGACTTGTTACTTGTTAGACATATTTATAGTAAAAATAAAAAGAATATTATCAATCGAAGGATAAGAAATTAAAGTAAAAAAAGACACTTAACGGATAATATGTTACTAGAGATGGTTAGATTTTTTGTTAAGGGTAACAATGACATTTGATAAGAAATAATAATAATAAATTTATTATTTTATAATCATGTTGATTTCATTCATTTACATAATAAATTTTATTCGTTTTTACATTGTGTGATTGTTATTATTGTTCGAAAAAATGAGAAAAAAAAAAAAAAAAAAACCTCTCTTCAATTCAAATTCAAAACTGGAGAGTTTTTGTAGCATTGCAAAACAACGATGACGGACCTTGTAGTGGTGGTGGTGGTTCAAGTGAAAGAGAAGATTGAGTTAACGGACACCTAGAATAAGATATTTGATAGCCTAGAAACTGCATTTCTCTTTCACTCTTCCTTCTTTTAGACTTTCAAATTTTGATAATGTTAAACCATGTGCCGGTACTGGCCTACTTTAAAAAGCACTAAAATATAGTTAAATACTTAATTAAATGAAGATTTAATTTCGAGCTCAACTTCCTAAAAGATAAGAACGGTTGCATGTCCCTTGGAAGGCCCAAATATTTGTTTCTTCCCTAAGAAAGGATTTGGAAATATTGACCTAATATAATATTTCACAGTAAACTATGCGTTAATCCTACGTAATGCTTTTAAATTTAGAACATAAAAAAGTTTTCAGGGATATCTATTTTTCTGCCTAAATTTCTTTTTTATGTTCCCCACTACTCAATTTGGTCACCTGTGAAACAATAGCTAAAAATTTAATAAAAGAAATTTGACCCAGCTAATTTAGTATTATCATCACCCAAGTCTAATTTAAAATTATCCTACCTAAAATTAAAGGTTTTGGCACTCTTAGCTATCCCAAGAAATTACAAGGGGACAATTATGTTGACGATTGTCCTGAGAATAACAAAATAACATCTAGAATTGCACCGCATTAACCAGCAAATGATGATGAGCAGCCATATCTCCTTGTGAATGGTAGGATGGGAAACTTTTTCGAATCTTTCTTCTTGCTGCAGGAGTGGACCAATATCATCCACCATTAATTCGGATGTAAATGAGAAACCATGACAGACCAACCAAGGGCTATCACCTCACAACTATTATTAAAAAGCAACAATAAATAAAGCATAAAGGTGGACTATAAACTTATCCCATATTTGTAATTTTAGGAAATGGGAACTTGTTCCCATTTCCTAAAATCCTCAAGCCACACATCATCTAAAACAAGAAGAATTTTCTTCTCCTTAATAAATTCTCGTATCTCATTTAACACAGTTTCTAATTCATCTGCATCTTTTTTTCCACCTAAAAGAGATTCAAGAATTGCTTTGGCAATCCTAATTTCATCGAAAGGATCAGAGACGCACACCCAAATTTTTTTATCAAAATGGGTTTTGACCTCATCATCATTAAAAGCTAATCGAGCTAGAGTTGTTTTTCCAATCCCTCCCATCCCTATGATAGAAATGGTGGAGATGATTGATTCTTGACTACTCTCAGCTAACAAGTAGTTTTTTAATGTATTTCTATCCTGATCTCTTCCATAGACCTCCCGTAAATTAATAAGAGAGGTAGTTACTTCGTGCTCTAGTTGTCTAGTGCCCGTTGTCAAGCTAAAATTGAAACCGTCCTTTTCCTTGGCAATATCACCAAGTCTTTCATTTAGGTCTTTTATCTTGATAGCAATTTCATGACGTAGGAAAACTTTCTTGCAACAAAAGCAATTAGATGAGATGCAAGAACATACCTTTTTCCAAAGCTTAGAAGCATTTTCAGCTTCCTTCATTTGTAATTTTCTACATGCAGTGATCCACTCATCCAACACATCGTCGATATCATATGAAACGTCTTTGAGCTTATCTAACCAATCTCCCACACTCTTCTCCTTCATTTGTCTGCTCTCGGCATCTTCAAGCACAGCTTGGACAGCTCGGAAATTGCTGGTGAGCTTTCCCACTGCTTTGTCAGCAGAAGCAAGAAGTTTCACCTCTTCAGTGGCTAGTGAAGCCAATTGACCCAGGATGGTGGAGACAAGTGATTCAGCCATAGTCAAAAGATGGTAATTGCCTTAAGATGTTGAAATACTTGGGGTGTTTAATTGTGTTGTGAAAATTCCAGCCTTCCATTTGTTTTTTATAGACAAAAGAAGACTACAGAATCTGACGCTTCAATTATTAAGATTACGTCAACACGGACTGAGCCTCAGCCCACTTTATTGCAGATGAGAAAATTAATGGCCACTCACGTGGAAACGTGGAAAGTTATGCTCCAGCCATATTGACTAGTAATATCAACAAAAAATTAGAGTGATGTTATGGGTACTAATGGATGGGTACTAATCTGTGTACTAACTAAAGCATAGTACCCGTACTATGCGCATAGTACGGATACTATGCTTTAGTTAGTACACAAATTAGTACCCATCCATTAGTACCCAAAGTATTATTCAAAAAATTATTGCTCTCAACAAAAAATTATTCCATTGGTCTCCGCTACAAAATATATATAAAGGGAAAATCATTTAAGCCCCCATCAAATTGAACGTAACCCCCCACTGTTAAATGTAGTTTTCATTTGACAAGTTAAACCCTAAATAATGACATAATTATTTATAAATACACGTAGTCTCTATTTTATAACCTTGTTTTAATTTTTAAACTTAATTTCTTACATAAACCCTAAATCTAATTTTTCTAAGTCATTGAAACCTTTTTTTTTTTAATTCAAATAATTCTTTGTTTGATGAAAATATATCACTAATGATGCAATATGTGTTGATTGTTAAGTTGAAATCATGCCAATCACAGATAATCAGCTAAAACATCAATAATTGATTTTTATTATGATTTCATGTAATTACAACCTTGATCAAATTTCCTTAATTTGTTATTTCTCACTTGTATAAATAAATCATTATAATACGATCAAATACAATACAAGGTACAGATTCAATTGAGTCTTCTTCTTTTTTCTTGTTTATTGGTATTCTTCGACAATATAGTTTGTCTCTTTTGTCCCTTCTTGCTTAGATTCTTGCAATTAATATTGTGGAGAAAGTAATCACATAATGAGATAAATCTAACTCTGAAGAAGTAAAATTTAAATTTGAAACTGGAATAAAAGGGTATTAAATAAAAAACATTTTATATTTTTGTTTTAATTTTTAAACCTTAACTCTTACGTGATCAAAGATGGTAAATATTGAAATATTTGGTGTGTTCAATTGTGTTGTGAAAATTCTACCCTTTCATTTGATTTTTATTGTGTTGTGTTCCAATGAATCATCACCGTTCAATTATTTTGGAAAAAGCTGACCACACCGTTTGTTTTAACGCGTATTTTTAATAAAATATTATCAAAATATTTATTTTGATGTCACCCCAGAGACATGAGGGCCCTGTTTTCTCTTCAAAATCACTTTTCTCTGTTGTCCTCAGCCTTCAATTATCAACAGAATGCCCCCAAAGACACCAACTTTGCCTTGGCCTAATCAATTCTCAATAATCCAACACGGCGCCATGTGTTCGTGAAGTGGAGTGGTCCCAACAACGACCCTCCAGGTCTGGTGGCTTCATTTCAAGATTCCCAAAGCCAAATCCCTTTCAAACTTCATCCACCTCTCCATCTATGTCTATGTATGTATCCCAAATACATGCATGTCATGTATCAGTATCACATGGTTAATTACATGCAAACCCTTGAAGTTTGAAATAATATCTCCTATGTCTATGGAGATTGGAGAGGAGAGTTTTGAGAGAATATTTGAAATATGAGGGGAGGTTAGGAACGTTGTTTTAAACTTATGGGGGGTTGTCTAGCTACCTAACCAACTTAATTATGTATGATCAAAACTTTGGACAACGATCAATTATTCTGATATTATTTCCCTTGTCCAAATGCAGAAAAAAAGAATATAATTTGGTAACATAATTTGACTTGTTAACTATACCTTAAAGAATATAATTTGGCAATTTTTCTTTGGCTCCATTATCCTTCAAGTTAAGGTAACTCAAATGCACTAAATATTTTATTCCTTTTGGAATTTCACTAAAATAGCCACTCAAATTTAATGTCCTCATACATGTTAATTGCTCAAACTATCTAAATAAGCTTCCGTTTTCAACCACAAAACTATGTAATTTTTTAAGATTAAAATTAGAGTAAGGAACTGGACTACTACTTCTTGCGTATAAATGTCGAACCCTTTCATAAGAAATTTCCGATTGATGAATTGCACCACTCTCAACTTCTATTGCAAAACATTTATTCTTTGTAAGAAATTGAACAATGTCATGCACTATATCATGTATCTTACATAAATTTTACTTCCAAGTTTTTATTTACTTCCAAGTTAAAGAATACTAGAACAAGATAAAGAGAAAATCGACATCCTTGAAAGAATTAGAGAGTGTTTTGAATCAATAAAACAAACAATCATGCACAAATAAGGAACCTGTAAAGAGAAAGAAACACGCACAATTTATAATTTTTTTTTTCCCCATTAAATTTCCATAAAGTTGTCCAAAAGTCTATCATTCACATTAGCAATAAAACAAATTATATATATTTTTTATTAAATTGTGCAAGTTTGTCCCCATCCCTTTTTTAAAGCGAGACATAGATTTGGTTTCAGATTAATTTGGGGGTGGGACTCACGAAGATAGTGGTTGTGTTAGGTGAGGAGCCTGAGCACTGTAGCACATTTTCTCAAGTGGAGGGACCGTTATGCTCCGGCCTTTTTGACTAGTCATATCAAAACAAAATTATTGCTCACAATCAAACATTATTTCTTTGGTCTTCTCAACAATATATATAAAAGGTAATTACAAAATGCCTATAACCTAATTTTCCTGAATCATTGAAATGCATATAATTTTTTATTTAAAACATTCGTTGTTTGATGAAAATATATTACTGATATTATGGAGAAAGTAATCACACAATGGGATGAATATGAATATGAAGAAATAAGTTTCAAATTTAAAATTGGAAAAAAGTGGTATAAACAAAAAAACCTAATCAAGAAATTATGGAAAAATGGTGTAAACAAAACCCTAATTAAGTTTTAAATTAGGAAAAAGTGGTCAATTTTGATGGAGGATATTGATCAACTTGATGGGGGCTAAAAATACGCTTCCCTTAAGGTACAGTAAGGTAATTCCATTGAATTGGATCATTATCAACTCTATTTTCTAAATATGATGTTGCAATGAGGATCCCATCCATCCTAGATTCTACTATCAATTAACAAAATATTACACAGATTCTATAATTTTTTTTTTTTTCCGAAGTTCTTTTATTTTCATTACATTATATAACCCATTTTTTTGTCCATTCATTCTAAATGTTTGCAGATGACGTGGCACCATGTGATCCATTTGATTTTCTCAAAGTTTGATGCAATTTGGAGTAACTGACTATTTTCCACGTTTCAATCAGTTTACGTAAACACGGATTTAGCCCATGATTGATATCACCGAACTTGAATTTCAAAATTGTAAAGAATAGATGGCTACGATCTAAACATTTGTACTCCATTAATGCATCATCACCTCAATCAATGCAAAAATCAACCCTCTTCGTCAAAAGTTTATTAGAATTCCTAAAAAAATCTATGTTTAAAATTCATGAGTTGATTAAAAAAAAAAAAAGTAAAGGGCACTATAAAAAGTTAAAGCAAAATTTAAAAGTTGATTAACCTCTGCCTTTGTCGATTAATACTAAAGCAAAATCTTGTATAAAATTTTCTCGGGTGGAGGGTCCAGTTGATTATTATCAAACCAGATTCAAGGAAGGAAGAAGCACTTGAGTCTAGCTTAATAATGCTTTCTAGCTGGATTCAAACGCGTTTCATGTAAAGTTTCCAAGTAAATATTTTTCTAATTGACCAAAATGTGTTTCATGGTTGGTAAAAGCATTTTCTTATATGATCACTAGGGCATCAATAATTTACAAGTAATTACACCCATAATCTATTCTCATAAACTTTCTCTCACAATCCTGATGTAATAGCTTACAATTGATCAACTATAATTTATTAAGTGGAACCCAGACGAGACCTATTACGAGTTGACTAATTACGAACTGTCACGTCGAAATTATGAGAGAAGTTTGTGAGAAGAGGTTGTGAGTGTAACATTTTTCATAATTTATTAGAATAAGATGACAAAGATGAAGTTGGTCATTTTCTTGCTAGGTCTTGCTAACTTGTGCTGATTATTATTATTATTATTATTATTATTAGAGGTGTACTTATATAAATTATTGTTTTGATTTCTTATTTTATTTTATAATTCACATTTTAGTAGAATGTATTAGGATTTTAATTCATTGTTTTAATGGACATTGCTATAATTAGATAATAAGAAAAAATAAATAATTCTGAGGATGATAGTATGAAAATACAAAAATTGAATTTCAAAATTGTAAAGAATAGATGGCTATGATCTAAACATTTGTACTCCATTAATGTATCATCACCTCAATTAATGCAAAAATTAACCCTCTTCGTCAAAAGTTTATTGGAATTCCAGTAAAAAATCTATGTTTAAAATTCATGAGTTGATTAAAAAAAAAAAAAAAAAAAAAGTAAAGGACTATAAAAAGTTAAAGCAAAATTCATAAGGTGATTAACCTCTGCCTTTGTCGATCAATACTAAAGCAAAATCTTGTACAAAATTTTCTCGGGTAGAGGGTCCAGTTGATTATTATCAAACCAGATTAAAGGAAGGAAGAAGCACTTGATTCTAGCTTAATAATGCTTTCTGGGTGGATTCAAACGCGTTTCTTGTAAAGTTTCCAAGTAAATATTCTTATAATGACCAAGACGTGTTTCATGGTTTGTAAAAGCATTTTCTTACATGCTCACTCGTGTAAAGTTTCCAGGTAAATATTCTTATCATTGACAAAAACGTATTTCATGGTTTGTAAAAGCATTTTCTTACATGATCACTGGGCATCAATAATTTACAAGTAATTACATTCACAATCTCTTCTCATAAACTTTCTTTTACAATCCCGACGTGATAGCTTACAATTGATTAACTA